TATCATCAATGTTTATTTTTATATATGTTCCCAATATAATAAATAAAAGATGCTAAGAACATGTTAAGCCTTTATTTGTTAGGATTTAGTTCTTTGAGATAAAGATATAACTTGTAAAGCAAATGCTTAAAACTTTGCTTAACATTACCATTGCCAAATAATATTTCTGAAATTATAGAATAATATCTGCTTATTCAGTCAAACCGTCCACTGATTTAGTCATGTCGATTATTACCCGTACGAAAATTGTCTCTCCAATTTTTACAGTTAAAGATGTTTTAGAGCAAAATTTTTCGAGAGAGGTTCATAAAATCCTTGAGAGAATCCAGCAGAAAAGTTATATTAAGGGGGTTCATATTATGAAGCAAGAGATTTCTTGAAAAAATATTATTAATACAAGTTTTACTCATAATATATACAATACACTGTCATAGAAATATCTTAAATCCCCTATTGGAAAGCACTCATATTTTCTAGAATTTTCTTTAGCTACTGAAATAAATTTTTGTCTGGAGAAAGTTATTGGAGAAGAAACTATTATGTATGCACCAACTAGTCTAAGAAGAATCCGTCAGTCAGAAAAACCCGTTTTATTCTGTACTAAGTAAAGGTTTCGCAATAGTAAAATTTATTATTTAAATTTCTGAACGTTAAGTATAATTTTAATAAATTATGAGGATCTATATATATACAAGCAGTGAAGGCTCTTTGGAGGAGCAGCGGTGCAGCTGAATTCTATTTGATAAATAAAATAAATATTGTCATTATTTTTATATTTTAGTGTTTTTACTTTCATATTAAGACTTATTTTTTTATATTCACCATTTGATGCTGGAAGTTGAAGATAATTTCGCAAAATTTAATATGGTACATGTATATGCTGGAGGATCCATATAAGGTTAAAATACAAGATATAACATTTGTGGAAATTGATGGGTTGCGGGAAACTTTAGAAATTAAATTATTCATTTTTATTACGTTTAACGCTATATTGATTACAATATTTAAATTTGGTTACAAGTTAGTCAAACTATTAAGCGCAGAATTTTATAGAATGTATTATTTGTGAAGGAGGACTTGAATACGAAATTTCTGGGAAGACGTTACAAGGGGGTCCTCAAACAAAAATCAAAGAATCATTGCTTTACAGTTATGTAAATAGTTAGAAAAGCGCAAAATTATAGTCTACGGATATGCATCAACCCAATGGAAATTATTTATTTGTAGAGTTCTTTATTATCATAGAAATCTTCCACAGAAACAAGTTTCGAGATCGATACTGGTAGGCATCCGAACCACAGTAGAAGAAAACAAAGATATCATGATCCTACCAGTTGAATCATTCTTGTGTCTTATAGGATGTTTTAAAATTGTTATTTGACATACTCTTTCTAGAGCTGATACTAGTAACTTTACTCTAAATTCCAATTTAAACATCACTGACCAGTCAATTTTCTAGACGATAGCTTTTCGATTGAATTAATATAAGTAAAGTGATCCTGAGGGTATTGGCGGTTAATAGCAATACAATGCCGCCCATTCGGTATAGTGGTTAGTGACGCTGACTGCAACGCTGTAAGAGCTGGGTTCAAATCCCGGATAAGGCATAGATGTTTGTGTTCTAATCCTACTCTTCTTTGTAATGTGTGTTTCACGCTTACTTCCATGTAAGACCCCGTGGGATACTTTGTAGTGCACAGGTGTATTAATGTTCTTAATAAAACAAATAGCAATACAATGATTGAATGTATTAATTTATATATATAGCATTTAGAATTCAGTTTCTATCATATGATAAACATTTCTCAAAAGGTTTTCAACAAGAATGATTTCCTGAAAGCAAGCAGATAATTACAATCAAATTTCTACAACATAAATACTTCATAAATATGTATTCTTAAGAAAACATACTATTTTCCTTTAAGTTTTACGTTGTAACAACTCCTTGCGTTTTATCCAAATGATTCAAATTGACATTCAATAGCATGATATTTTAGTTACGAAACACTTCAGCAAGCAATTATCAAGGCACTATTATATATCAGAGCAGTGAATCGAAAACAGACGAATGTGAAACATTTCAATCAGCATTAAAAATGAAAAGGACAAATAAAATGCTTCATTTTACTTTGTTTTCTCTTAGTCTAAGTGCTTATTATCAATATAAAATCCAATGATTTCAGATCACAATTAAATAATTACAAAACGAGATTTCAAGCTTGCAAAAGACATCGAAAACAGTGTACATAGATTTACAAAAGAACGTTATTTTTTTATTTGTCATTTTCAGTTCATAAATAAGTATTGTTTGATTAAATTTTGTCTTTCAATAAACGATAGCGAAAATTATCGGATATTGTGAAAGCATTAAAACTGAAAATTATAATCTTAAGAGCCACATATATGAATTATTTTATTCTTAGTTTTCAAATAACTTTAACAATAAAATTCGACGTTAAATAATCCTTTATTAGCGAAATAAGCCCATTTGAAGAGCAATTAAATGAATTACAGATTCAAAGGAAAATTTGATATTTAGATAAAGCTAATTGATTCCTTTCTTTAATTTGCCCTTTTTACTGGTTGCCAATATATTCTGTATATCTATGTAGAGAACAGGATTTACTTGGCTCAACTATCATACTGAAGTTGATTTACTAGAGAATAATTATTTTCTGTTTTAAAACACTATTGATTAGCAGAAAACAAACTACTTTAGTCAAGATAACTCTTAAAAGAGAGAGACATGTGTATTGATTATTACAAAAACATTCTAAAATATTTAATAAAACACAGAAGCACATAATTGAAGTGTCATACCTCATTGAGTTAAGGCAGCTATTTTGATTAAAGAGAAATGTCCTCTTAAAAATGTTAATTGCTTTTCTTTTTATAGAAATAATCATTCTCAGCACTCGATTTTTTTAAACTAATATTTATTTTTCATTGTGATTTGAATGCATATATAATGAGTATGCGTAAAAATTACACTTTGTAAATGAATTTTTCATTCAGCAATATTGTTTTGTGAAGCATACATTGAGTCTTTTTCTTTCATTATGTGAAAAAAATGTTAGAATTTAATGAATACGTTGCTCAATTAAGTGCCTTGTTTCCTGTATTCTGATTTCATTAGAACAAAATCTGAGTAACAATAAGCAATGTATTCACTGAAGATGCGATAATGTTGAATAATCTATACAAAACACACATACTAATGACAAAAATAGCATTATTTTCGACCTAAATTGTTTTTATGATTTATCTTATTAGTTGCTCAATTTCATTTCCGTTACATGACGCTCCATGTGTGTATTAATAGCTAGAATATAATTTAAAAGTTAAGTTTAATTGCCAGAAAACTTAACAATAAATGCCAAATTGAATTTCCGCTATCAAAAGGAATTTTTATAGAAAACTATATCAAAACGCACTAATTTAAATCATATATTTTTTGAAAATAGAATTCTTTGCGTATGCTTAAAAGTTAAACCAATTTTTTTCAGTCAAATTATTTTTTTTCTAATTTGTATGCAGCGCGCATGGAAAACGATTGCATCAGATAAAGATGCATCAAATATAATGCCGTCTTTAATATTAAGCCTTGATATAATTTTTAAAATATATATGTATAAGGAAATTAAAACGTTCAAACTTCAAAATTATCTTAATTCTATTTTAAAACTCTTACCTTTTTTCAAAAAAAGAATTTTAAAAATAATATTCAAAACTGCAATTTTATAACTGTAGACCATTGCATGTTTTTTAATATAAATTCCGTATATATTAACCTGGAACTCGCTTGATAACTTCAAATACAAAATAAGATGCATAAATAGCAAAAGTTTCCCTGTCCTGATGCTTTTATTAGATAAAATAAATAAAATCTCTCACAATCTGAGAATTCAGAATGAGTAAAAGTACCTATATCACAAAAATATACCTTAAATCTGTTCATCTTAGAAGTTGATCTTATTTTTAGACATGATGTATATAAACCAATATAAGGTAATGCACAAAGCAGCTTTCAAAACAAGCTCTCTTCCCCCAAACCCACCAACCATTCATTGCCGTATCGACAAACCCGTGTACTTCCACAAATCAACAACGACTATCGATTTCCATCCCCAACAACCACTTTCTATTTTCCAGGGGCCAGAAATTGAAAACACAGTAAATCTAGGAGTCGATGTCATTCTTTATTCTGAGAGTTAAAGAATAAGCGAAGAAAGGAACTTACAGAGGACATTGAGCAAGACAGAGAGCACCGAAGGACCTCCAATGCCGTTGTCAGCCCAGCATTCGACGGGGCCTCTGAGATCTCTGGAGACATTGGAGATGTGCAGAATCGATTTGGTGCTATCGAGGGTCGGCCGGCTATTCCGGGCCAATCCTTTTATCCGCCACTTTATCATTTCCGTTTTGGCGGGATGGGCTGTAGCCCTGCATTCCAAAGTGGCCTCCGATCCCTCGAACACGGGTCCGGAGGGAGATGCGATTATCACTGATTCCACGGTCGCTCCATCTAAAAGGAAAACATAGAATATATCACAACTGCTGGGAAGGTGTGCTGTCACTGAGTGTTTGTGGAAATGTGAAGTTTCTTTGAGTTTTGTATATTGTTTATGTCTTTTTGCTGCAATGTTTTCAGAGAAATACAGAAACACATTTATCGTAAAAGAATCCATTTTTAAAAAAAGTAAATGTAGCAAGTGACGTAAAAAATAGTTAAGCCAATTCCTACTTAAGTCAACAAAGAAAATTTTATTTCAGTTATTTTTATTAAGTAATTACAATTACTATAAATATGTATATACATATAAGCCAAAATCCCAATATTAAATGGCAAAATAGAAATCGATTTCCCTTGCAATTTTCCATTTTTATTTCTGTATAGGGTGTTTGACTATTATTTTTGTATGTCACTTTGTTTTTTATTAAATTTAATTATTGTAACAAAATAATATAATAAAAAGAAATCACATTCTCAGAAATTAGGCAATCCCAGATAGGATTTAGACCCATGACCTTTGGATTAAAAGTCCAACGCGCTATACAATGCACTACAGGTTCACAACGAGCGATATTATTTTTTTAGATAGGGTGTTGGACTATTATTTTTGTTTGTTACCATTTATTCCTTAATTCAATAGAATTAATGAATTAATATTTGTAAAAACTATATTAACATCAAGTGTCCTTCATCCACTAGAAGTTTTTAAAAAATGCATCTGAACTTAAGTGAATGAATAATAATTTTTTTATTTATCATTGAAAAAAATTTCAACAAGATATATATATATATATATATATATATATATATATATATATATATATATATATATATATATATATATATATATATATATATATATATATATATATATATATATATATATATATATATATATATATATATATATATATATATAGGAAGAGTATAAACTAATACTAATAGTAGAAGTTGGCTATATATAATTTGATATTTTAAAATATGTTCTAATACTAATAGTAGAAGTTGAAAAATATGTTCATTAATTTGATATTTTAAAATGAAAAGAGTTTTCAATTTATTTCCGTCAAAACCTTAATATCATCTATACTTAACGTAGCTACAGAAAGCTTAGTGATTAGAAATTAATAAAGAATCCGAATTGCTTTTGTCGCATACTCCAAAAATTTCCAAGGCATATTGATTGCATTTTTGTTACTTAACAAATTAAATTAAAGCCACATAATTAGTATAATTTAAATTCGTCTAAAATAATTCTTGTCATTTTCATGATTGAATCTTTAAACTGTTTTATGTAATCGAACCACCGTTTAGAAATTTTAATACCAAAAAACAGGTAATCGAATGGTAAGGATTGAAAAATATAAGTACACTTAATTACTAAATTTTAAAATCATTTTTTCTTCTTTTTCTAGCACATATTTCTGGTATAAAATCCTAAGACACACCGTAGAATATTTCAAATAACTAAAAAAAAGCTAGTAGTGAAAAATAGTAAGATTTCTTCATTGTCTTGTAATGTATATTTTTTTCTATTACGAATAAAACCATGATAATTCTTATTTAAGGCTGCATGGTGGAGGGGGCATCTTTATATATTTTTTTTATTTTATGTTTAATATTTAGAATTAATTTGGTTTTAATTGTATTTTGTAAAGATTGATATTAGGTAATAATTCCATATAAAAAGTTTAAAATTTATTGAAAAGTATTTGAAAATTTCAATGTTTTAACATTTTTTAAAATTCTTAATGTTTGTTTAAATATGTAATTTAATACATTTTAAGTAATATCATATAACAATATAAAACTTTTTAAGTACCTTGTAATATACTAAATTAAACTGTGAATGATTTTTTATGCTCTCTTTCTCTCTGCTTCTCTTTAATTTTATATTAATTTTTTCATTGTTACATATACAAGAAATTCACGAAAACCCGTTAATTTAAATCTGTCTTTTGTAAAAAAAAAAATTACTAAACATCTCAGACATAATTCCATACACAGTTTAACAATACATATTTTTAAAACATGTATAAAATGCTTCTCACCCCTCCTTCAATTATTAAAAAGCCTTAGAGTTTTGAATGTGTACAAAAACTCAACATGGAGAAATATCGGTTTACAGTTTTCATCCCACGTGAATAGCATGATATAAAATTACTCTAATAGTCTTAAACATTTAAGGAATGTTACTTAGCTTTTTAAAACTACTTAGTACAAGAAATTGAACAAATTTAGAACAATTAAACGGTATACTTGTATAATGATTAAAAAAAAGAAAGCAAATAAATGATCAATATTTCATAATACTTTAACATGACAAGTGTAAAAAAATATATATGCACACACCTCAGAGCTCTTTCCATGCTCCACTTTACAGCTTACATAATGCACAATATGTAAGAAAGATGTTTATGCCTTTATTTCTCATTCCCATTACTTTAAAAGCCTTCGCATATTAAGGTATCCAAATACGTTCGGAACAGCGAATTTAAAAAAAGCGCATAAATGGATATATTTTATGATATTTAGTGTCACTTAGATTAGAATACATATATAAAATTGTCTTAAGGACATTTTGACAAAAAAAGTATTTAAATATAATATTTCAGCAAAAAAGTTAATTTAAAAAACCATTATTCAAAAGGTTCTCTTTTTGTGAAAAATGCTTCAATTATAATAGTATTTTGCCTGCATATAGCTCAGACCTCTGTAGAGAGGTTCAACTATAATTTTTGAAAAATTCACATTATGTTCAGAGTTAGAGCCATTTTAAATAATTATCGGCGGTTTTTTCCGCTTAAAATTGCTCCCCTCTGTTGTCGTAAAACATGGATAAACCCACTTCTATGTTATATATTTCAAAACTTCAAGTTGAGCCTCTGAACAGAGGTCTGAGCTAAATACAGGCAAAATATTATTATGATAGAATCATTCTTCATAAAAGGAGAACATTTTAAAAAAGATTATTCTAAGTAAATTTTTTGCCGTAATATTGCATTTAAATATTTTTTGTTAAAATGTCCTTAAAACAATTTTATACATGTATTCTATTCTAAGTGACATTAAATATTACAAAAATTATCCATTTACAAGCTTTTTCAAAATCTCGAATCCGACCGTAGTCGGATACCTTAAAAATTGTACACGAATGAAGGAAAAATCCAACGTGTCCTCCAATTGAGCATTTTTCGTTATTACAAATAACAATTCATAGGTAAAATGTACCAAAATCGAAGAAATACAACTATGCATTTGCTTAAATAAAAATTCTTAAAACATTTTAATAATAATTATATTGAAATTCCATGTATGGGATATATCCTCGAAAAGAAGGGTGTAAAAGTAAGTGAGTTTTGCCTTTTACTTGTACTACTATTCTTGCAAATCAGATCTTTAGCTATTAATTAGAGTTATTTAAATGATATTTAGTATTTTTGCTTTGAGAATCTGTTATGTGAAGTGTTAATTTCATTCATAATAATATCACAAAAGTCCCACACAACGTTTATATCTTGACAAAATCCATTTGCTCTAATTCATGAATTAGAATATTTGCATGAATTGTACAGCTACCTATTGAAACAATTTCTGATTTGTTACTGCTCATGTAATTCTACAAATGTTGGTAATTTTGACTAACCACTGTATTTTCATGAAATTTTTAATGAATTATTGCCCTTTTCTTCTAAGTTTTGAACAATTCAAATTGGTATTTTGAGACATTTTTATCTTGCGTTTGCCTAAATATTTGATAACCATCTACCAGAAATTTTCCCTTTTGCAACAATAGTTTTCCTTGTAAACCTATCCATAGTGTACTTAGAGATTTTAATGACATTAAATTGAACTCTTCAACAAAAAATACCTTAGGAAGTAAAATTTATAACCATAAAATACATCTTCTGGTGTCTTATATATTTTGAAACATATATATGTTATGAAACTTTCCGGGGAAAAAATTGCACATTAATTCAACTATTGACTCGTAATTCATCTAAACAAATAGATTAATTCCATGTAAGGTTAAAACACTCCTTTGTGTGCGGTAGAAAAGTAATTAATTCATTTTTATCGGGCTCTTTTCAATCAGATGATCAGAAATTTGGGTGTGAAAGTTTTGCTGTCTCCTGTCATGCATTAAAAATGTTCCATAGTTTACAAAAAAAGGCTGTGGATTTTTACAAACATATTTAGAAATATTTGATATATCATATGAGCCAAAAAAGAAAAATCGATATTTTTATAATTTTTAGGGTACTATGTGATTTTAAATCCCTGCAAAGATTTCTTTTTTTATGCTCGGAGAAAAATAAAATTTAACTTTTTAACTTATAATTTGAAATCATTGAAAGAGTTAATTCAATTTTAAAATGAATCACTTTCTTAGACTAAATTTATCTAATACGATAAAAGTGAACTATATATCTACATGAGCAAACATACTTGACTAATATTTCAACAAAAATTAAACAAGTTATGTAATTTGTATGTATATTATTAAATTTAATATCCATGTTTATGTATTAATATCTTAACAACTATAATTTTAAAAAAAATTAAGATATGATTGTTTATTTGGTCAATTTTGTGTTACAGATTTTAACTACACGGAAACAGTCGTGACTGTGAAAAACGGGTGTCCATAGAAGGGAAATAGTTGCCAACTTTGTTCCTGTTGAGTAATAGGTACCAGACTTGGTGCAATTGAAGACAATAGTGTACGGAACGAGGCACATTGAAAATCTGTAAAAATTCAAAGTCCGCCTGTTGGAGTGTTGGGGAGGCTTGGAGAACAAAGCACCTGCTCCAATTTCGTTTCTTTAAAATAAAATTTTTCAATGTAATGAGTTTCATCGCAACTAATTAACAGTATTTATTCAGAATACGACATTTAACTAAATAGTATGTAAATTACAAACGATCAAAACAATTAAAAGTATTAAATAAGAATATTCTTTTCCATTATATGTAAGAGAAAAATTATAATTTGTGTGTTTGTGAATCCTAAGATTTTTTAAATATGTATTTATTTTTCTAAACACACATTTCAGTTTAATATTATAATTTCTATTTAGTGATTTATAAAATTTATCAAAACAGTTTTATTTAAAAAACTTATTAAGATATAATTTAATGAATGAAAAACCATTGTGTGTGTGTGTGTTAAACGATTTTAACTTTTCATCGGAAAAATCTGTCATTTAAATGTTAAAAAAAACTTTAATTAATAGCATTAAATAAAATTGCTATGTTTTTAATTATGGCGCAATTTAAAGCTGCTTAAAGCTGTATAATGAAAATGTTTAACAGAAACATCAAAGCTCGTTATTAAATAAGTAATTTAAAATGTTTAATACCAGATTTTGTTCTTTCTTTTTGTGGAAAATAATTAGTGGGAATTTTTTAATACCTGTATCAAAAATTATTTGATGATAAATAATGATGAAAAAAATTAAGTTGTAATTGATTTAAAAAAATATTCTATCAACAGTGGTTACACGTGAGAATTTTCAGTAATTTATGAATGAAAAACAATACTTACAATTACCACG